TTCTGGACCAGAAAGCATTGAAGCATTTATGTCCAAAGGTGCTTTTCAAAAGGCAACTGGACTTTCTTGGGTTTTGCCTTCAAAATGTTCCACTTCTCATCCAAGAAGCTTCTTCGGTTGTGACTGAATGGTGGGGAATGAAAAGATTTATATAAATATATATCATATACCGTAAATCCTTCCATTCCCTACCATTCAGTCAGAACTGAAGAAGCTTCTTGCATGAGAAGCAAAAACGTTTTCAAAGAAAAGGTCCAGTTGTCTTTTGAAAAGCACCTTTGGGACAACCATGACCTGGATGACTGAGAATCTCCATAGACCAGGGGTAGGCAACCTTGGCTCTTTTATGACTCGTGGACTTCAACTCCCAGAATTCCTGAGCCAGCATGGCTGGCTCAGGAATTCTGGGAGTTAAAGTCCACAAGTCATAAAAGAGCCAAGGTTGCCTACCCCTGCCATAGACACTCATGTCTTGGTCATCTTTCAATTAAACTACTGCAATTTGCATTTTGTGAGGCTCTCTGTGGAAGCTGCAACTGGTACAGAATATGGCTGCCTGCTTGATTTTTTTACTGTTTATTTATTGTGTTACTTGTTCAAATGTATCGCTTAAAAAGTTCAGCCTTAATTTATAAAATACACCAATGATTCTCCCTTTCTCACATTGACATTTACCAGTATACACACACATATGGACATTCCCTTTCCTCCTTCCAGTTGCAATAAAAAAGGGAGAAGAAAAAAAAATGGATTGAGAGGTACAATGTAATGGTATGTGGAAATGATCTCGGGAATCAGGAGGAAGAGCCACAGACTGGAGAACTGGCTTGTAAAAATGGTCCTTGACTTACGACCAGTTGCTTAGCAACTGATTTCAGTCCTGTGGACCCTCCAAAAGGTACTTACAACCCAGTTCCAGAATTCCAATGGCTGCTGCCCTCCTGTTCATGTGACCACATTTTGGATGCTCAGCAACCGGCTTGCATTTACAGCGTTTCCTCCCCTGGTGGTCAAGTGACCCCAATTTTTTTGGGGGGGAAAAAGCGCTGTATGATGTTTTTGCCAAAAACCAGCATTTCATTTTGGGCAAAAAACATCCCACAGAGAACAATGACAACAGCCACAGATTCACTTAATTGCCATAGTGATTCACTTAATGAATGCTTCAAAAAAAAAATTGGGTTGGTCATGTGTTGACCTGCTTTACAACCATCATGACTTACGACTGTAATGTGCAAGCTCCCTTGTGGTCGTAAGTTGAGAACTACCTGTAAAACAGGGGTCCTCAACCTTGGCCACTTTAAGACTTGTGGATTTCAACTCCCAGAATTCCTCAGCCAGCAAAGCTGGCTGAGGAATTCTGGGAGTTGAAGTCCACAAGTCTTAAAGTGAGCAAGGTTGAGAACCCCTGCTGTAAAAGGTATCTCAGTCCAGAAAAGAGGAGAGTTGTGTGGGAGTGTTTCAGAAGGGATCCTCCCTAGTTTTTCAAAGAGTAAAAGAAAGTGAGGGGAGAACTGCTTTCAGTCTTGCAAGATTCAATGAATGTAATCTTACAATAAAAATAGAGCTAGAAATTCTGATTGTGTTTCTTGACTACCTGGACTACCTTGTAGGGCTAACAGAGAGCCAGTTTGAACTAGTGGTTAAGGCATCAGTTCAGAAAGCAAGAGGTGGTGAGTTCAAGTCCTGCCCTACCCATGAAAGCCAGCTGGATGACCTTGGGCCAATCACTCTCTCTCAGTCCAAGTCACCTCACAAGGTTATTGTTTTGGGGAAAATAGGAGGAAGGTGTGTTTGCCGCCTTGAGTTATTTGTAAAAATAATAAGGGTGGGATATAAATAATTGGGCAAGGAAAGGAAAGTAAGAGAAACCTTGTTTAGGCATCATAAAAGGATGATGTTCACCAATCACTGACAACAGCCTTTACGGGCTCCTGGTACTTCATCTTTAATGGCACCTCCCACATGCTCTTATCCACATTTAAACAAAAACAGCAACACTTCAATTCCCAAATAATTTTTGGAAGACATTAAAAGCAACTCCTCATCTGTCACCATCTACAATCTCTAGAGCTTCCGTCTCCTTTTTTTCTTAATTTTGACTTTAATTTTGACATGATAATACTGTACCGTTATCTACAACAGATAATCAAAATGCAACCTTTTTTTTCTGTAAGGTGCCCCATAAATAGCGACCTTTGCTTATTCAGATCGGGAGCATTGTCCCAAAGCCTCCTATTTAATTTGTCCAATTACACAATGGTTCACCTTTTGTACTACCCAGATCTAGTAAATGTCAACTCCTAGTAAATGTCAACACCATGTTCCGAGCAAGCTGCAAAGCTTGAGCAAAAATAACATGCCTGTTATTGTGAACAGAGAGTATGATTTACTTCCATTGTTATTTGACCCAAACAATCTAGCATGACATTCAATATTTCCCATGCAACCTTCTGTTCTGAATCTTGATGATACACTGTGGATTTATCTTCCATAACCTTTGCTAGTTTTTAGCATAACATTTCTCTTGGGGAAAAAAACCCAAAGAGCTGGAACAGGATGAAAATCATGCAGTTAAATGAGTAATGTGTATATTAATTCTTTAAAACATTAAAGATGGCACTTAACCCTGTTTTTCCTGTACCAAACCAGCAACTCAGAGTGACTTTATATACAAACTATAAAATAATAAAACATGCCGATAAGCTAAAAAGAATGAAAAAAAAACATGTAAACTTCACAAAACATAAGAAATATAGTGGAAAATATTGGTAGCTCGGGTGATAGATGATGGTGATGGTTTGTTCTCTGAGCTTGTGGTTTAGTTTCCGAACGTTTCGTTTATGAATATGATTTGTGGGATGGCTGAGACAACTACAAAACAGAGGAGATGTTTTGTGACGTTGGTGGTGGTTTGTTCTCCGAGCTTGTGGTTTAGTTTCCGAACGTTTCGTCACCAGGCTAGGTAACATCATCAGCAGAATTTCAGTTGAAGTGTTTTGTTTCAGTTCTCTTCTGCTTTTGTACATCTCATGTGGTCAGTGGGTTGCGTGACCAACTGCTCATGACATGTCCAGGTCATCTGATGGTGAGGTAATCCAGTTGATCATGTGACCCACTGACCATATAAGAACTATAAAAGCTGAAGAGAACGGAAACAAGACACTTCAACCAAAATTCCGCTGATGTTACCTAGCCTGGTGACAAAACATTCGGAAACTAAACAACAAGCTCGGAGAACAAACCCCCACCAACATCACAAAACATCTCCTCTGTTTTGTAGTTGTCTCAGCCAACCCATAAATCATTGCATTATACTGGGATTCCCCCTCTAAAATCAACGGATAAGGACACATGACATTGGATGGCTATGCCCGGCTCAGCTGCTCTACTCTCCCCTCCAGAACTCTGCAGAATACCTTGAGAAATTCAATCTGGGATGTTTGGTAATAAAGTTAGCTCTGTTCCTCACTCTGCTACTTTGCAATCAATCTGAAAGTTAAGGTCAGTGTTAGTATTAGTCTAAATTGATTGCTTTCCTCCCCCCCACACACACACTTTCTGGTTTCAAAAGAAGACTTCTTCTGTTATTCCTCTCTATTCTCACTTTCCCCAGGTCTAATGTCACGGGCAGAGCTTCAACTGGTATTCCATCACTAGAGATTTTTAAGAAGAGATTGGAGAACCATTTGTCTGAAATAGTATAGGGCAGTGGTTCTCAACCTTTTCTTCACCATGGACCCCCTTTAAATATCTTTTGTGGCCACGGACACTGGCCACGGACCACCAAGACGTAATTCATTTTTCAAGCCTTCGTGGACCCCCTGTGACATCACGGACCACCATGGGATTGTGGACCACAGGTTGAGAACCACCAGTATAGGATCTTCTGCTTGAGCAGGGGTCTGGACTAGAAGACCTCCAAGTCCCTTCCAACTGTTGTTCTATTAGTCTGCCAAGCTTTTTGAGATTGGATCTTTTCTACATTGATGTGTTAAGATTATTTCGTAAGCAGTTTTGAGTGTTAGAGAAATGCCTGAACTTGGCAGTAGAAAATAACTGAAGGAGAATACGCCTTAATTTCTTTGGAGAGAAGATCCATATATAAGGTGTTGCCAGTGAGAAAGCACTTTTGTATGCTCACGCTAACCATGGCTCTGAAGGTAACAGTACAAAAGAAACAACATCTGATCTTAAGAGCAGGTGAATTCACACAGGACAGCAATGTTCTAGCATGCAGGTTTGAATCCACTTAGGGTTTTCAAGATGGACAGATTGCTTCCTCGTGATCATGGGATTAACTGAACTACTAGCTGCTGTAGGAAAGGTGGGCCAATTTAAGGTGGCCTGCCCCAGACCCCTGATGGATCCAGAGAGTTTCCAGGGTATATCTGGGGCATTTCCCAATATTCTGGAGAACAATTTTGTAGATATCTGTTTAACCTCTGGATAACGGAAGCAGCTGCTACATAAAATTAACTTTATCTTCTTGTCCACCAATCCAAGGAGATGCCTTCATTCTCTGAGAGGCTCCAGGAAATGAAGTCACTGAACAAACCCGTTGACCAACACTGATGGAAAACAAGAAGCAAGTATAACTAGACCTATGTTCCACTATATTTCATTCCCACTAGTGATCAGACTTGATTTCACTACCTCCACAACTTATTTTTATTGATTGATTTGAGTTGATTTCTACAGCTGCACATCTCAACAAGTAACTCTTAGTCTGCATTCCCTGGCTACTGAGCAATTTACAAGCATTTGTAATGGGGTCAGACTAGAAGATCTCCAAGGTACCTTCCAACTCTGTTACTCTGATGTTTATTTCCTTTACATTGGCTGTGTTTCTGCAAGTATTGGTCCCAATGATTTCCTTTCTGAAAGGGCCCACAATCTTTTGCCTAGATATGTCACAACACCATAACAGAACATCAGAAACAAAGGACAAGGGCGGGAAAGACTAGATATCCTTTTAACCTACTGTGTGTGGAACGTACTTTTCGTATATTCTCTGTCCTCTCATGAAAGCCTTCACTTCGTTGTCAAGTGGGAATGTCCCATCGTCTTTCCTAAAGCGGTAGAAAAGTTTGAGATCCTTGAATTCCTTATGCTCATCACAAACTGAAACATAAAACACAGGAAATCAGGATGAAGCACTCCAGATATTTTTATTTACGTTTTGTGGTTTCATGTTACATTTCCAAACCACAGCACTCATCTCCTCAACGTATCCTGAGCTCTTTCAGAACCCCTAACTAGCATTTCTGGGTAAGAGCTTGAGAACCTTGATTCTTTTCACTTACCATGATGGATAATGCTACGATCCAGTAGCTTCTGCACAAGTTTAATTGCTGTCTCCCTGTCAAAGGCCTCTTTGTGATCAATCAGCCAGTCAATCAATTCTTTGGCAACAAAACAGTTCGGGTAAGTCTTCAGGTGGTGTCTTCGGTCCTTAATAATTTTTTCTTCATGCAGCCTGAGCCTGTGAAACAATTGATATCACACTGAAAATCAACTTTTGTTGATTTGTGTTTACCTTGAAAACCGGAATTTGTCTATACACTGCAAACTGAAAAAGGATGAGTGCACCATTGTATTTTGGGATTTGCATGCAGATTGTCAAATATGTCAATTTCTCATTTTTCCCCATCATACATTCATCCTGAAGGAGATACCAATGGCCAAAAAGGAGTTCCTGCTTCTGAAGCTAATATCATTCAACCTATGAAGGACATCAGGATGAACCTTGGATCTTCATACTTCCTCTCATTAATTAAATCAGAAATAAAAGAGCTAGCGGATCCCAAAGTAACAAATATAGTGGTCCAATTTTAGTCCATGATTCCCCAACACTTTAGGATTGATAGGCACCTCTAGAACTTTAAGACGTTATTATGGGGAACATCAAAAATATCTGCTTTATCTAGTTACAACATGGCTACTGTAATGGCAAGTCAAAAATATGCATTTCACACAAACTAAAGTGGTAAGTTGTGCTACACTGCACATTCTAGCCCTAGGGGAACCCCACCATGAAGATAAAACTTACCTGTACCCTCTTCTCTGGAAAATTAGAGCGATTAAGGTGCTACATTAAAAACTGGGAAGCATTCCAGTTTTCCCTTGAGCATGAAAGCTAGCTGGATAACTTTAAGCCAGCTACTCTCTCTCACCCAAATCCACCTCATGAGGTTGTTGTTTGGAGGAAAATAGAAGGAAGAAACTATATCTGTGGTGCCTTGAAGGCAGGATATAAATCTAACAAATAAATAAAATCTTCAAAGAAAATACTGGGCAGCAGCCACCTGATTGAATGCTTTTTAAAGAGCCAGTTTGGTTATAGTGGTTAAGTAGACTAGAAACCGTGAAACCAAGTTGGCATGAAGCCCGCTAGGTGACCTTATGCCAGTCACTCGCTGTCAGCCCTTGGAATAGGGTAATTGAAAACCACTTCTGAAATCTTGTCAGAGAGGTGGGGAAATGCTTTTGAAAAGGATAGAGGGTGCTTTTTTTATTAAAAGTATTCATTTGTGAAAAAACTTGGGTAGGTAACCTATAGAGAAGCATTCAGAGGATTTTGATGCCTATACGTGCCGTATCAGTCTTAGCATCTTTCTTTGTAGAGTAGACATTCTCATCTTCATTTTGAAAGAACAAAATCAGTAAACCATTGCTTTAATGCAGAGGTCCCCAACCTTTTGGGCATCAGGGACCAGTACCATGCATGGAGAAAGATTTTTCCATGGACCAGAGGGGGTGTGGTTTTGAATACTGCCTGCATTCCGAGGATGAAGCTTTGCTTCTTTGTGCAGCCCACTTGCTGGCATGCCCAGACCGGTGCCAGTCCATGGACCGGGGGTTGGGGACCCCTGCTTTAATGGACTAATAGAAGTGGTGTTAAAGCAGGGCTTTTCAACCTTTTCACCCATTGTACCACTTTTAGGATATGGCAATATCCGAGTACCACCAGTTGCCTAGCAAAGTGTCAAAAACTTGATGACAAAAAAAAAGGAAAAAAGTGATAAAGTACAGGTAGTCCTTGACTTACAACAGTTCGCTTAGTGACTGTTTGAAGTTACAATGGCACTGAAAAAAGTGCCCCCCAAGGCACAGCCAAGCAAGACACCTGCCTGCCCACCTGCCGGTGCTCTTCCTCCTGTCCGAGGTTTTAATTGTTGTGAGCATTTCTGTTGAGGATTGGCAGCGGGGCTGGGGTGGGGGGGTGTTTGGTTTTTATTCCCCCCCCATCTGCTGGGTGGTTGCAGCAGGTTTTGGTCACTTCACATGACCCTGGGACACTGTGACCGTCATAAATATGAATCAGTTGCCAAGCATCTGAATGTAAATCACAAGACCCTGGAGATGCTGCAACATTCCAGCTGATCGGCGCTTCTTCTGGGCTCAGCAGAAGTGCCAGGATCAGCACTGAGCTCCAGCTGGAGCCTGGCGCTGAGCTCCAGCTGGAGCCTGGCGCTGATCCTGGCGCTTCCGCTGAGCCCTGACAACCCTGCAGCTCCAGCCATCTCTCGCTCAGGCTTGTGAGGTGCTGCCACTGGTTCAGCTCATTCCCCTCCCCTGCTACCACTTTTCTAGGATGGTCGCGTCCCACCTGCCAGGTGCCAATGTACCACAGGTGGTACCCGTACCACTGGTTGAAAAGCCCTGTGTTAAAGCAGAGTGGCTGCCACTGAATAAGACTTTCATATGCATATTCTCAATACATGCAGAAGCATAAAGTTGTAAAAACAGATTTTGTCCATTGCATCAAAGTCATTCAAGTTGAAGTCCCACAAAATCAGGGAAAGGAGATGTGTGATTTCACAGGGAAATTCCAGGCATGTTTTCCATTGCTATCTCTTTTTTTTGCAAATAAGACTTTGATTTATGAGTATAGAAAGCAAAAATATTTGCAGATTAATTTTTAATGTTTCCCAAATAGGATCTTGGGAAATTTAGTTTAATTAGTGGCTGAGAACTCTCTGCTAAAAATCTCTTGTTCACTTCCTAGAATTACAGTTCTAGAGCAGTCTGAAGAGATGAAAATTAACTCAGTAGTATAACTACAATCAAGAACTATCAGGCATTTGTAAGTCTAGCAGATGGTGGGATTGGTTCTTGGCCCAACAGGCAATAAAAACATGAGGAGTTAACAAAAGTACTTTTTCACCGCCATGCACGGAAATGAATAAACATGTTCCAATATGTTTATTAATAATAGGTTTGCACGTCAGCTATAGCCAAGAATAATTCTCTCATGGAAGTGCTAACAAGACTGGAATTACAACATTATTTGCAATATCCTGCCACCAAAGGACTTTAATAGCTATATCCAGAGTTAAAAGCAAAGGTTTTCAATGCATAGAGTTTACAAAAATGAGTAAGTATTTCAGACTCAGGAATGGAAATAATCAACAGGAACAGTTTCAGACATTTCAGTATAGTAGTAAATCTAAGTGGAATGTACCACTTGACAGAAATCTGAGAACTTATATACGGTATCTTTCCAGGATTTCTTACTTATGACATATATTTATGAAAGCTGCGCAGGGAAAATTACTTTAAGAAAAATCTGACAGGTCTCTAAGTGGCTTAAATTTTCTCTTGTGGAAACCATCGAACATTTTCAAGGATTAGATCCAAGTCAACTGAGCCTCAATCATAATAGCGCTACATTTTACATAAGGAAAAAGTAATCAAAGGGGTACATGGGAAAACCAGAAACGGCTACAGCATGGTTACATCAGTTAAATCAGCTTAGTAAATTGCAACAACCAGAGATATATTTACCTGGTGCTCGTGGGCACCAACATGTTAGCAAAGATCTCTGTTGATGTTGGCCAAGTCTCCTCCCACTGACTTTATTTTTAAATGCTTCTTTATTGCAAAAAAACTCAAAACCCAATCAAGTTGGCATATTACACATTCTTCATAATATTACATATTATTTGTTGATTGAAATGGTAATCTTTGGAGGAAAATGAACTTCCTTCTTATTTGATCAGAGAGAGCTCAGGTTAAACTTGGACTGGGAGAAAACTTCATCCAACTAGATTGGTGTTTTTCATTGCATTTTATTCTTTGTCTAGACTCTAGAGCTTATTCTAGTTTGTGTTTTTTAAACCTTTTCAAAATATACACAGTATGTGTGTGTATGTGTGTGTGTGTTTTTCAGTACCGTAACTAACTGTATTGAAACAAAACAAAAAAGAAAGTAAGAAAAAGGAAAGGAATCAAAAAAGAAGAAAACGTATAGTTTTGCTTTCCAATTGTCTTTCTATCAAGTAACTATCACCTTATTCTTTCCCCCATCCAATTTGACTGATCCAGATATCTACTGTCGATTTGGATCTGAAATCCAGATATCATCAATTTAATGATTTACTGCAAAAAAGACGGGGGGGGGGGAGTAAATTTCTTCTAAATAGATTGAACTGCTTTTCAAAAACATTTGCTTTCAACAGACAGTAAAGTACGTACGCCTTACACTGAGTCACACTGTGTATCAGACCAGCCAAGTGTTGTCCATCTTGAAGGAGAACAGCTCTCCATACTTCTAGATGGGCAGCTTTCCAACCTTACTTGACAACAGGAATCATTAAACAGACTACAATGGAAGAATACTGTATATGGACTTTTAAAATGTTGCTTGCAGATCCCAGGGAGTGATAAAAATGATGTATAAGTTGAAATTGTTAATAGGGCAAAAGTAATAATTAAAATCCATGACCACTGAATATGTATATATTAGAATATACATCTGAATTACATTTTACTTTTAATTTGTCTTTAAATGAAAATTTTGCTGCTCCTCTTCTTGGAATGACAGTCTATCTCAGTGGTGGTGAACCTATGGCACGTGTGCCAGAGGCGGAATTCAGAGCCCTCTCTGTGGGCACGCATGCTGTCATCCCAGTCCTAGGCCTTCAGTTGGGTTTTATAAAAGCTTTTTGCTTTAGGCCTCCGTTGCCGTGTGCAAAAAAAAAAAAAGGTTCAATCAATCAATCAATTTCAACTTCTCGCGGGGAAAAAAAAGATCTCGCAAAGTTGGAATTGATTGATTGAACTTTTTAGTCCCACCCAGTCTGCCGTTACCACCGCAGCCACGCCCACCCAATGGACCACACCCACCCAATGGGCCACGCCCACCTGGCACCCGATGATACATACGTGAGTTTTGGGTTGCAGTTTGGGCACTCAGTCTCTAAAAGGTTCGCCATCACTGGTCTATCTGAAATACGCACCAATTACCGGTACAAGTAGCTCTCAACCTACAACCATTTATTTACTGACCACTCAAAGGTACAACGGCACTGTAAAAAATGTCTTATGATCATTTTCACTCTTGCAACCATTGCAACATCCCATGGTCACATGATCAAAATCTGGATGTTTGGCAACTGGCTCGTATTTATGACTGTCCTGGGGTCATGTGATCAACTTTTCTGACCTTCTGACCAGCAAATTAATAGGAAAGCCAGATTC